CCTCAGCCAGGCACACACGCTCCTGTGCTTGCCGCTCCGCCGGAGCCACGCGGGTTCCTTCCCCTCAACAGGGCTGACCTCCGAGTCGCTGTTCTCACTGGGAGCCCGACCGCCACTCCCCAGATTCAAGCCCGTGTGTCTGGGTAGCCCGAGTTGATCCTGGAGGAGCAAGGGCTGCGCAGGTGACAGTGGGCTCCACGTGTGTCTGTGTGCACCGAAGGTTGGTTAGGTGCCGGCTCTCGAGTGTTTCCAGACCCACTAGCACATTCTCTCCAGACCAGAGTTGAGGCTGCCGAAGCACAGGGAGTTGCTGTAGTCCTGTGGCTTGTGTTTCGCCTTTAGGGATTTGTGTGTGTGTGTGTTTACACATTTGTATGTGTAGATCTGTATTACCTGTTTTAATGGCTGCATCGCATTCTGGATAGCTTTGTGTTGGGGAGAAGTTTAAAAGGAAGTACTGCTCTTACGTGGCTAAAGCTTTAGAACAGAGAATGAAGCAAATTCAAACTTAGTGAAATTACTGTACTGTTACTGCCTGACATATCTTTAACTTCCCTTTCGTCTGTGTTGTGTTTTTTTAGAACTTGTTCAGAAGAGATGAGAGAAATGTCTGGGTAATTGATTTAGAAGTATTTTTTATGCCACTGCTCTTTTTACATTTAATTATTTATTTAATTTTTTTAATTATTCAATTTGACCAGGGAGATAGAGAGGGAAAGCCTCTAGGTCTAGGACTTGACTCATGGTCAGCCATGTGGGAGTCCAACACTTTTACCACTGTGCCATCAGCCATTACTCTTTTAAAAAAGAATTACTTGGGACCAGGAGTTGGCATAATGGCTATGTTGCTGGATTTCCACGTAGTTGACTGCGATTCGAGTCCCAGATCTGGTGACTTAAACTCACGCCAGGTGCATGTGCGTGCGTGCATGAGTGCCCAAGATCCCGAGAGGAGAATGGAGAAGGGATTGTGGTGTGACCATCCTCCCTGGGGGGTGAGGAGAATGGAGAAGGGATTGTGGTGTGACCATCCTCCCTGGGGGGTGAGGAGAATGGAGAAGGGATTGTGGTGTGACCATCCTCCCTGGGGGGTGATTTCTCGCTTTCTGTCTGTCTCTTTCTGGGGAGCACACACTCCCTATAGCAAAAACTTCTTCTTCTTCTTCAAAAAAAAAAAAGAATAAAGAATCAAAAGAATCAGTTAATTTTATTTATTATTATTATTTTAATTTGCTTATAGGGCATGTGCATTCACCAGTGAGACAGAGAAAGCGAGCTGCCAAGTCCGGAGCTCTAACCAGGGTCTGGCATGTGGGAGTCCAGTACCTTTACATCACTGCCTGCTGGCTCACAGCCATTACTCTGAGTAGCTACGTGTCTTGAGTTTTTTGTAAAAATTCTGGAAATATTTCTGTCTCTACCTGTCTTCTTTCTTTCCTCTTTCTATTTTTTAGCTCTCCTTGTATCATTTCCCATCCCAACTTCAGTCTTTTATCACTCCTTCATTTTCCAGCATCACAGGATCTCATGGACATATTTAGCCCAGCATGACCAGACACCATTTGAGAAACTGTCTAAGGACCCAGTTTTAGTACTGGCTAGGTCTTTGGCCTGCTAGGGTTTCTGTTTCTTCTGCTGCCATCTTCTATCCGGTCTGGCTTGATCAGATTTAAAGGCCTCATTTTGTTCCCTGCTACAGTGATTTCTACTGCTAGGGAGAAGCATAACTTTTTTAGAGGCAAATATTTCAACCGTAACTGCCAACCATGATTCTTTCTGGATTTTGGAAATTATTCTGTTGACTGGGCCCCAACATCTGGTAGAAGTTTCTGCACAACTTAGTGCTATTTTTCTTCTACCTTTTATCCATTTTCTTTCCTATTTTTAAAAACTTTTGCAAGAGGGTACATGGAGAGAGACAGATGGAGAGAAGGGAAGGGATAAAGCATCCTCTATGAGGCATGTCATGCTTCTCCATCTCTCCTTCCTTTCTGGATTTTAGGTATGCATGCACACACCTGGTGTGTTTTACAAGCTGCTGTCCTGGGATGTGAACTGCATGATCAGATGTGGGATCCAGCTGCCTTAACACCAGGCCATGGGCTGGTCCCATTTTCATTTTGGGAAAGGACTTCCAAATCTGTTATCTTTTACCCTCTCTCAGCTTATATTCAGGGTTTCACTATGAAAGAACAATGTGGGACCAGTAGTTAGCGTAATGGCTATGTCGCTGAACTCCCATGTAGTCGACCGCAGTTTGAGTCCCTGACCGGGAGGCTTAAACTCACGCTGGGTGCGTGTATGTGCGTGCCCAAGATCCCGAGAGGAGAATGGAGGAGAAGGGATTGTGGCATGGCCATCCCTCTTTGGGAGGGATTTCTTGCTTTCTCTCTATCTATCTTTCTCTGTCTTTCTGGCGAGCACACGCACCCTATAGCTAAAACATCCCCCTCACCAAAAAAAAAAAGTGCTGTGATGGAAGAAAGAAATGTGGCATACTGCCTCTGTCTCTGAATTCCTTGGGCAGGCGTGGGTCACCTTTATTTCTGGAATGTTCATTTTAGCATCCCTAACATGATTTCAGTTGCTACACCTGCTACTGTGTAGATAGAGGTACTGTTGGGTTGGGGGAGCAGACACTGATAATTCTATAGTTCACTCTTATTTGATGTAGCATGATAGGTATGTCTTAAGACCTCAAAACCATGTTAGAAAAGCAGTTAGAAAATAAGGGCTTATGGCTTGAGAGCTCCATACAAAGTCCTTTTTTCTATGGAGCTAAGAATGTGTAACAAAACGTGAGCAATACAGTTGTTTGTTTAGTTTTTAAATAGTAATGGGCTTTTACCATTAGCGGCAGCAGTATATTAACACACTGCTTTGTATTACTATATTTATTACTCATTCTTTTGGTAGCGTACCATCACTCAGAACAATTACTCTGACAACAACAACTTTGCCTCCTCTGATGCTGTCTCTAGGGCCATTGGCATCTGCACAGCGCAATTCATATTCCATAATTAATGAATTATATTTCCTATTAGTGTATTGGAAATTAATGCTGTAGAAGAAATACTTGTATATGCATATATGTTATGACTTGGGTAAACATTGATGAACTTCATTTGTAGTGAATCAGAATGTGATGTCAATGGGAACTCATCATTCCTCCAGGCAGAATTTTGGAGCATAGCCAAATGTTTCTTCATCTCTAAAGCAGGGATAATACCCTACCTTTATCACAGGTTTGTGCTAAGAATCAGTTGAGAGAGTATTTATTCTTTCATTGGACAAACCTTTAATGAGTACTAGTATGCACAAAGCACTGTGCTGGATGATGAAGAATCGCGATACAGTCCCTTTCTTAAGTAATTTACAGTTTAGTAGCAAGGAGAGCCATGTAAACAATGGAGTTGTGATGCAAAAGTAAATGTAAAAGGCTATGTGGGATATTTGAGCCAATTACAAGATCATTAGGTGTTTAAAAGGTGACAGGTGCTTGTCAGGTGGCTATGCATGGGGATGGCAGTGAGTAGAGCAGAGGAGGAGCAGCCGTATAGAGGCTGATGTGTTGCGAACTTGAAGGTGCGGCTGATCAGCAAATACAAGTACCAGAAGTGTTGCAGGGTAGGGTGAGGCATAGATAAGTAAAATGGGGCTGCAGGGTGAGACTTGTGATCTTAGAAGCCTTTCTAAGCCTTTCTAACGAGTCTGACTTTTATTCTATGGACAACGGAAAGTCATTTTAGGGTCTTGACTAAGAAATATTAGTTTCCCATTTTCCAAAATAACTACGCTCGGGAACCAGCAGTTAGCGTAATGGCTATATCGCTGGACTCCCATGTAGTCAACCGCGGTTTGCATCCCGGACCCGGTGGCTTAAAACCCACGCTGGGTGCGTGTGTGTGCGTGCCCAAGATCTCGAGAGGAGAATGGAGGAGAAGGGATTGCGGCGTGACCATCCCCCCTGGGGGGTGATTTCTCACTTTTTGTCTCTATGTCTCTCTCTGTCTGGCGAGCGTATGCGCCCTATAGCGAAAAACCTCTCCAAAAATAAATAAATAAATAAATAAATAAATAAATGAATGAATGAATGAATGAATGAATAACTACGCTCGGAAACCAGCAGTTAGCGTAACGGCTATGTCGCTGGACTCCCACGTAGTCTACCGCGGTTCGCGTCCAGGACCCAGTGGCTTAAAACTCACACTGGGTGTGTGTGCGTGCATGCCCAAGATCCCGAGAGGAGAAGAGAGGAGAATGGAGGAGAAGGGATTGCAGCGTGACCATCTCCCCCGGGGGGTGATTCCTCACTTTCTGTCTCTATGTCTCTCTCTGTCTGGTGAGCACATGCGCCCTATAGCTAAAATCTCTCCAAAAAAAAAAAATAAAAGAAAGAAATCAACCTATTCTAAATCTCTTCTTCCTGTATATTATAATAATTAAATCAGTGTTACTCTAGACTCTATAATAAAGAGATATATACAATATATAAAAGAATAGAGAGCCCAGAAATGCATCCATTTTTAATAAATATATTATGAGGGAAACACTATAAATCAATAGTGAGAAGATCTATTATCAAATAAATATTGCAGGAAAAATTGGTTAGCTACTTGGACATTTTCTTTGTACTTACATTTTTAAATTGGGCACATGTGCGTGCGTGCCCAAGATCCCGAGAGGAAAAGGGATTGTGGTGTGACCGCCCCCCCTGGAGGGCGATTTCTTGCTTTCTGTCTCTGTCTCTGTCTGTCTGGCGAGCGCACGCACCCTATAGCAAAAATATCTCCAAAAAAAAAAAAAAACTACACTGTACATTATATGTTGTTACAAAATGCAGATTAAAACACCAGTGAGATACCACTGCATGACTATTAGAATGACCAAAATCCAGAACAAGTGCTGGTGAGCATATGGAACAGCAAGAGCTCTATTGCTGGTGGGAATGCAAAGTGGTTCAGCCCTTTTGGAAATTTGTTTGACAGCTTTTTCATATTTCTTCCATATGATCCAGCAGCCATACTTCTTAGCATTTGCCCAAATGAGTTGAAATTTTAATGCCCACAGAAAAACCTGCATGGAGATGTTTATAGCAGTTATTTTCATCATTGTGAAAACTTAGAAATAACCAAAATGTTCTTCAGTAGGTGAATGATAAACTGTGTAGCACGTCCAGACC